CCTATAAGATTGACAAGAAAAATAGATGGTCGAATGGACCTCTCTAATTACTGGTGAAAAACGAACAACAAAGAGAAAACGGCGCTATTTGGTCAGAAAGGACCATTGTTCGTAAGATAGGTATGATCTTGGACCGAAAATAACCATCCATCGATTGTGTTATTGGTTAACGTTATTGCGATTGCACCAACCATAGATATACATATCTGCAAACAAGAGAAGTGTTCTAAATTGATTAGAACTTGTGTGTTAGAGAAGTGTTCTAAATCGATCAGAACTTCTATATTAGAGAAGTGTTCTAATTATAATAATAGAACTCCTATTATAATAATAGAACTCCTATCCCAGAAAAGTGTATTAATTAGATTGGAACTCTTATCAGAGAGAAATGTTCCGAATATAAATTAGTACACCTATGCGATGTGTTCTTTTGATGAAATATACATCAGGTAAGTGGTTCATTTAAAATTTTTAGCATTGATTTTTCTGGTTTCTTTCTGACAAGATAATCTTGAAGATTATCTAATCTTCTAGAACCAAGAATTGGCTTCATATTACAAATGGCTGTATCTGAAAAACAATCGTTCCAGAGTTTATGAAAACGAGTCGAAAAATCATGCATTCCTTTACAATAAGAGAAATGACACATGATGTCGACCTCGAAATCAATTCCAGCCTTCTTTGTATAATTCTCTCCAGCGTTTAACAAAAACTTTCTTATTTCAGAATAGTTATTTTGTGTAGGCGCTGCGCATTGAAATGTCTGTAGGACTCTTTCAAATTGTTTAAGAATAATTTCTATAGGATATTTATTAAGTAGCAATGACATGCATATATGAGCTTCTTCATGTTTGAAGGCATTATACGTAGAAGAATATCTGATTGCTCTTACAAGAGCACCATATGGAATATTTTTCTTTATATGTTTAGCATGTACGCTTGTGAAAGGAAGAAAATATGGTTCATGTGAGGGTTTATGAAAAACCTCAGACATCAATTTCCCTTCACTAATCATCAATCTTACGTCAAGGTACTCTGCAGTTTGTCCAATAGATTCTGAAAACTCGATATTCTTATCGATTCTATTCCAGAAATTTACAAGACCTTTTAATATATCTGCATGTACATTTGACATTATGAATAAATCATCAATGTATCGAAAGTATAATGAACATGTTTTGTTGGCCCATTTTGAAATGGGACGTTCAACAAAGTACATGTATGCATTAGCTATAGTGAGGGTCAAGGGTGAACCCATAGCTCCACCTTTTATTTGTTTATAATATGACCCCTCAAGATAGAAATAATTATTAGTTATAACAAATCTGGTAAGAGCTAATATAATCTCTTTTTTAACACCATCGATTTGTTTTAAACCAGATGCCTCCATTAGTTTTTTTACGGCTGTTACTCCACCTTCTTGTGGAATCATTGTATATAAATCAGTAACATCCATTGTTACAAATAATGTGGCTGGTGTCAGATAAGTAGCTGACCATTTTTCAACTTGTTGAATTAGTTGAAGACCATTTTTGACGGTCGTATTTATGGCTAGACGATCGAACAATGGTCTTAATAAACTGTCCAACCATCTAGAGATTTCTATAGTTGGAGATTTCAGACCAGACATTATAGGTCTTAAGGGTGTTCCTGGTTTATGTGCTTTTGGTAAAAAATAAAGATGGGCTAGTTCAGCCTCTTCTCTATTTACCTTTAATTTCTCATATTGCCTTTGAGAAATATGTTTATTAAACCATAAACCATAAAGAAAACTATTTGTACGTTCAACTAAAGATTCAAGTGGATTTGTTGTACCCAAATCTTGATATGCTTTAGTCTTATTCATATGTGCTTGAGCCTTCACTTTATAGTCATCAAGTTTACCAATATGGAAAACTTTTGATTTATCTGTTTTTCTGATGACTGTTTGTGTAGCTTCAAATTTTTTCTTTAAAATATTAATTTCTTTTATTTGAACAGCTGGAGGGTATCTTTCATGACAATCAGTCAAGATCTTTTCGAGTGAATCCATGAAGATCACTACTCGTTCTTTAGGTAATACCCAACCATGTTCACTAAAGATTTTATTTATTTTCTTTACAACCACTTCTATCTCATTATTCATACGTTTATGAGCGAGATGAGGGTTATTAGGAATATATGGAGGGCCAAGTTTAAGAAGGGCCTCTTCTCTCTTATTTAAATTAATATTAGCTTCATTAATTATGCTTGGAGCAAAAAATCCACTCTCATTACTGGATTTAGATCTTTTGACTCTTGTGTCTCGACTGGCGTCTCTTGGACGCCTCGTTCGGATAAAAAATGCACTTCTCTTTCAATTTCTAATTGAGCTCTTTTATGTGCAATTACAATATATTTTTTAAATAATTCAGAACCTTTTTCATTATTTATAGTATCTTGTCGTTGTTGTGATAATGGTTTTTGAGTAAAAACTCTATTATCTAAAGGTTCTTCGTCATCATCATCATCATCATCATCAACAACAATATTTGTATCAATTTGTGTTGATGGTACTTCATATCTATCTTGTGGAAAATCATCAATAAGATTTTGTAATCTTTCTTTTTGAAATTCAAATTCTTCTTTGACAATTTTTAGATAGAGTTCTGTTGCTTTAAGACGAAAATCTTTTGATAAATTATGTATGCTTTTTCTATATTCCTGGGTCTGTTCACTTGTTAGTGAATTTTCGTCCACAGGAAGATTAAAGTCATAATGTGGTAAGATTTTCGGTACTATATCATTTGATATATGTGCAGCTACCAATTCAAAATTTTTCTTTTTCTTATGGTAGTTAACTAATGTTGATTTACAAAAGGTTTTAGCATACATTTTCTGTTGTTCTGATGCAACATTTTCAAATGTTTTTAGAGCATCCCATTCGTCTTTTTCAATCGAAGCACGACGAATTCTATTAATGCTCATTTTAGCTAAACCTTGTGTAGCCTCTTTAATATAATCGAGTATAAGATCATGTACTCGTTGTGTAGCAACAGTGGCTGTTTTAGATGAAAGTTCTCGCATATTTCGTGTAATTATATTATTAGCGTCGAAACATGTCGTTGTCAATTGTGCTAATTTCTTTTCACACATTGACACATTTATTTTAGCCTCCCGTGTATGTGTTATATTTACTATTTCTTTAGCCCAATGATCTTTTTCTTTACCCAAATCATAGATATGTTGCCAGACCTGAGCTTCATAATGATTATGTACCCAAGTATCATATGTTTCAATGGTATTTTTTGCATATTCACATACTTCATTGAAAACATCTTTAATGTCGAGTTTTATTTTATTATCTTTATTCACACGATCTTTTAGATAAGCGAGAATTTTAAAAGCTTGTAAATAACTTTTACATTTTCGTTTATCTTTATTTAAAGAAGGTGATTTTACATTATCATTTTCCTCTTCTTTTTCAGAATCAGAAAAATTTATTTGACGCTGGTGATTTCCTCGCGTCTTTCCTCGCGTCTTTATATTATTATTAACAACATGTTCATCAATTACTTGAACTTCTGTTGTTGTTCTAGCTTGTCTTTTTTGTTTTTTAGACAAGTTTTTCTGTTTATTTTTCATGGCTTCAGTTTGATTATCAGCCTCTGAATTACCGGTTGTATATTCATTATTGTTGTCATCATCTATTTCAGATAGAAGACTAAAACGATTATTACCGTTGAAACAACCTAATTCGTTACTTTTTTCAAGTAAAACTGCTCGTTGTTTTTGACGCCGTGCTCTTCTACGGAGTGTGTCAAGATGAGCTTTTTCAGGTGATTTTTTTGTTTTTTGTTTTTGACCTTTATTATCCATCTGACCTGGTTTATAACCACGATTATCAGGTTTGGTCTTTTTTTGCCAATTTTCTGGCATAAAATGAACTAACCGACGTTGTGTCGGTTCTTTCCTTATTTTCAGAATACCACGTCTTTTTGAGGGTATCACTAAATCATCTTCATATTGTACTTGGTTCAAAAAAGGAGGAACCACAGTAGTCAACTTGGTATTATCAATAGGATAATAGAATGGTGGTGATTGTAACGGCATTTGTTGTTGCCCATTTATCCAACTTCCTGTACCTCCCATCCAGTTATTTTGAACTTGCCAATTTAATGGCATATTATATGAATCAAAACCATATGGTTGATAAACCATAGGTTGCTGTTGATAACCATATTGATATTGTTGACCAAGTTGTATACTATTCGGAATTGAATATGATGATAATGGTAAGTTGTTTTGTCGTCGTTGATGTTGTTGTAGGTACATCTCGATGGTGTCCTTATTTTAGAAAAAATAACTACTCTTGGGCTAATTTTAAGATCTTTCGACTCTTTAAAGTAGCCAACTAAGATTATTATACAATTAACTTTATTAGAATTAAAAGTAGTTGGTTATTCTTATTCAGATATAACCTCTTTCTAATGAGTTCACTACTCTCGAGATGAAATAAAAAAGGGTGTGGGTGTGGGTGTGGGTGTTAGATGTGAATCAGACAGAATAACATCTCCAACTGTCAGAATCA